TTGGCTTACTCATGGATTTCATTAGACCTCGCAAACTTTCACTCCCGCCAGCAACCTATAATATTTTTTTTCATTCAGTTTAAGTTTAGGCATTAGCAGCATCACACTTTTGTTGTTAAGATTCCTAAGCTTATGAATGCAAGCCGGGTTTCGAAGAGTTCCTTTGTGATTTATTGTGGCATGACTTTCCATTTCGATGGAAAAGTGAAATGCCTGGAATTCGTGAAGTGCCCCGGCCGGAAGGAGGAGGATTGCCCTTGGTCGAAGACTGTTGTATTGCGTAAGAAGTCTTCGACTCACCGTCCTGCGGCTCCTGCAACGGTGAGCCGAGGACTTCTCTACACAATCCAACAGTCTTCATTCCGTGGCAATCCTCCTTTGGTTTCCGGTAAGACCATTTTACATATTCCCTGCAGGCGACTAGATACATTCCCAGATGTTTTGCCGGCATCGTAGTCAACATCAGCAGTGAGCCTTGTCAGTCTTAGCACCACACCACAACTCGTCAAAGAGACAAGTGAAGTCGATCTTTTGACCAATTGTTTGCTAAACAGTTTTGGTATATCTCCTTTCGTTTCTGGCTATTCACCTTACCTATATCCTCATATTACCCCTTCAATCTCACAATTTCCTACTTGTTTATACAGACCTATTTGAAATCTACTCACACTCCCCACTGGTTTCCTCATCCCTCCCACTGTGTCGGGAGTGTTGATTCAAGGCTGCGGTTTAATCCGCAATCCTCTTTATTAGAGTCCTATCAGAGTACTCCTCTTTTCTTTTCTGCCGTTTGATTGATTTCACCCCATAGCTGCCACCGCATCCGTGCTACTCAAGGCGTTATGTTCTACGCTCTACCTCAAGCCTTTGCTGGCACGTATACACCAGCGATCACTAAGCAAGCCCTTTAGTTTAGCCATAACAAATCCCCTATCACAAAAACCCGGTTGGATTTCCCATTTGTCGGACCCACAGGATATCGCTATGCGACTTTAAGCACGCTCAGCACTTGAGCAAGAAGATAAAGAGAAATGCGACTTTATCTGGCCAGTCGAATATGTTTTTCACAGAGTTTCCCATTCACTTTGCCATATCACAGTAATAGTGCTCTAGTGACACCATTACAACCATTTGTCGACTTTGATAGCAGTTTTACATATTTTTATTGTAGTTTTTTATTATTATGACATAATACACATTTAAGATTGTTCTTTATATTTCGTTTAAGGTGATATAAGGTTGGTAGTTGAACTTTCCCACAATAATATGAGCAGATCTTATGTTTCAATTGCATTTTACATGGTCTTGCTTTTCAAAATGTATTCGCATCCAAGATGGACTGCAATTTCGACCTCGTCTAGGTCATATCAGCACTCCCAGTATGACTAGAATCATGACAATGCAGCGTATGATCTCGACTGGTATTCTCGAATGCCTACTTGCAAATGAAAAATAAGTAAGGTCGTCGATTGCTATAGCATATATAACTTTGTTTCATCAATAATCCCATCACAAAATGTGATATGGGAAAACATTTGCCCTTCTTCGAAATTCACATCTGCCCTGCGACCTGCGGGAACTCGTGGCAATGTGGCGTAGTTGTTAACGTGTCGAGATTATACACTACAGTGTTATTGTTAGTCCCGTTGGCAATGCTGATGAAACCTAAGCGATATAGAAACTCCAGGCTTTTGGGAAGCAAGGCTGTGAAATTCAATGGAAACGTCAGCTCTACTCTTATAATTTTAAGAAAATTCTTTTAGCAGTCCTCCATCGCCTTATACGA